GAAGTTAGCCAATCCCCAAAAACCAAATGCTGAATGTTTTCTCTGATATAAGGAGGCTGATTCATAGTGGGGAAGGGAGGGAGAGCATGAGAGGAATAGATGAATTCTGGATAGGGCAGAGGGGTAGGAGGGGAAGGAAGAGGGCATGGGGTTAGAAAGGCTGGTGGAATGTGATGGACATTATTATCCAAAGTACATGTGTGAAGACATGAATTGGTGTGAATATACTTTGTATACAATCAGACATATGAAAAATTGTGCTCTATATGTGTAATAAGAATTGTAATGCATTCTGTGGTCATATATAAATAAAATATAATCTTAAAAAAAGAATTGAAAACAGCAACAGAAAGATACTTGCACATTTTAGTGCACTATTCATAACAACTTCAAAAGGTGAAAGCAGCCAAGTTATCCACTGATGGGTGAATGAATAAACAACACAGGGTTATAGTGGAATATTATTATTTAGCCTTAAATAGTAATGAAATTCTGATACACACTACAGCATGGATGAACCTGAAAAACATGATGCTAAATTACATAATCATACATAAACAGTATATGATTTCAGTTACATGAGGTACTTAGAATAGTCAAGTTTATAGAGGCAGGAAGTAGAAAGTGGTGCTATGATCTGAATGTGTCAGTCAAAATCCGAATGTTGAAAGTGAAAGGCTAACATGTCAGTTTGAAGAGGTGGGACCTTGAGCAGTGATTAAGTTATAAGGGTGACGTCCTTACAGATGGATTAGTGACCTTATAAGTGGTCAAGGGGGGCAGTCTAATCAATTTTCACCCTTCTGCCTTCTTTCATGTTAGGACACAGCAACAAGAAGGAAATCTTAGAAGCAGAGAGCAGCCCTTACCAGACACCCAAGTTGCAGCGTCTTGATCTTGATTTTTAGACTCCAGAACTATAAGAAATAAAATTCTTTTCTTCTAAATTATCCTATCTGTGGCATTTTGTTATGGCTGCAGGAACAAAAGGAAAAAAAGTGGCTATTAGGGACTAGAAGGAGGGGGAATATTTAGTTAGCATTTAATGCATACAGAATTTCATCTTGGGATATTGAAAGAGTTTTGAAGATAGTAATGATGCTTTCACAACATTGTAACTGTATTTAACTGTATATTTTAAAAGGGTTAAATTGTAAATTTTAAGTTACATTTTACCACAACAACCCTCCTAAACCAGATTTTGAATGTAATAATTCAATGAGAAATAACCACCATGGTTACCAATACTTTAAGTCTTGCAGACTGAACTTTTACTCTTGGGCTCTGAAGCAGCTGAGACTATGCTCAGAGTCTCACAAGATCTTTGAGGAGCCTGCCTCTCCCCATTTCTCAATCCACTCTCTCAGAGAGACTCAAAATCAGGCCTACTGTGCAAAACAAATTCACATTGTCATTCCGTATCTCTTCTGTTCTCTCCCTGGCCCACCAAAAGTATAACCTTTGCCTCCTTCTTTAGCCACATTCCTCATTTCCACCTCTACAAGAAAAGCTAAGGGCCCACATGCCAATCAATTTGGGTATATAGATGCCCAGAGGAGTTGCCAGCCTCACCCTGTTCAGGATCCAAATTGAAGGCAGAAGCCACATTGTCTTGTCTGACCTCTCCTCAGAAGTCATGCAGCCAAATTTGGCAACTTTTATCAAGTGGGACAGTTATAAGGTCCAGATAGATTTTAAGGAAGGAAACAATGAACCCTTAAGGAGATATGCGGTTGTCACTTTGTTAGAAGAGAGCATGTGAGATGGGATAGATATTAAATGTGGCCACCTTTGGAAGGTACTACTTGCCATTTTTGTGTTAGGCCCTATTAATGCCTTTTTGCTATGCTTTTTCTTTAGAATATTTAAATACTTTTAGATGACTACATGGAAATTAGTCATGCTATTCTTCTTCCATATCATATTCTCATTAATCTAAAAAAGATCAGAATGTATTGGTAATCTATCCCCCACCCACACCATTTAAGATGTATTTAACTACATTACCTTTAGTCCTGTTTTCTTAGGCTCCTCTTGGTTGTGATGGTTTCTCAGATTTTCCTTGTGTTTGATGACCTTGACAGTTTTGATGAATATCCAGCAGAAGGAAGTTCCTCCAATTGGAATGTGTCTGATATTTTTCTCATAACCAGATTGAGATGATGGGGTTTGGGAAGGAAGATCACAGAGGTCAACTGCCTTTCTTACGACATCAAATCAGGGGTACACATTATCAAGATGAGTGAACATCCTTGATGTTGATCTTGATGGCCTGCCTAAGGTGATGATTGGCAGGTTTCTCCCAGCTCACTGCACTCTTGGAAGGAAGTTCTTATGCACAGTGCCCACTCAAGGATTGGGAAGTTGTGTGCCACCTCCTCCAGGGCACAGGAGCTCCATAACTAATTTGGCAATTTTCTGCGTAGAGATGGATTGTGTCTTTCTTGGAAAATAGCTTTGTCATTTGCCATCTGCGTGACCACTGGTAAGTCTCTTTACCTTGTTGACTTTGTTTCCTTCCTTTAAACTCGTAATTCTTCAAGATATGATAAGCCTAAATGCTCTGTGCTTTGTGAACTATGCCTGTAGGAAGATCTTAGTAATTGTTTCTCTTCGTATGGACTACCTTTCTCCCAGGATATCTTCTCATGGAGTCTAAGATGTTTTCTTCCTGGGTATTAGGGACAGTGGAACATCCTTGGGGAGTGAGGGCAGGGCTGGGTGGGATCTGCCTTAGGGACAGACCCTCAGACCCAAATAGGGAGTTCTGTGCTGCTTTGAATCCCTTCTCTTCCTGCCAGGCAAGCTCCTCATCTGGAGTGATGGCTGTGGTTATGATTGCCCAACACAGCTGTTTGAAGGCTGCTGAGGAGGGCAGAGGTATAAGGAAAAGAAAGACTTTTTTTTTCCCAGGGAATATGCATAGTCTGAGGTCCCAAGCATTTTGGCCGAAGGATTTCTGTACCTGACTCTCTTCAGTTTGCTTAAACTGTCTGAAGAGCATTGTTTGCAGTTTTGTACAAGTTCCTAACACCATTGCAGGTCGTGACTAGGATGACTGTCTTTATGAAAGATACTTGAAAGTCAGGTCTGAACAAGGCACACGTACGTTCTTTGCAGAGGATGTGAAGCTTGCTGACTGGAAGCCTGCCTGCCAGAACAGGATCCTTCTGTGCACACCAGAAACAATCTGCTATTGTCTTCAGGGATAAATTGGTGCCAACAAAAAATGAAAACTCCCAGCCAAGAGAAGGAATACTGCATTAACTGCTTCACCACTAAAGGTGATTATGGGAAGGGATAGACTGGGCAAAACATGCCTCTTTGATTTTAGCCAGGAAATACACACAAGACACAGATGTGGTGTCCTGAGCCCAAGCTGAGCCCAGGGTCCAGTTAGAGTAAAGTGAATGGTTCCCTCCCCATGGAGGCACTTGTCAGGGTTAGAGATCTTCTTTCATTCTGAGAGTTTTAATGCTGCCAGGGGAAGTAGCTGGGCACCTCCTCAGTCTCCCTTACATTGGTCTTGGTTCCAGAAGCTGTTACCTCGAGGATGGTGCCAAGCCAGGACTGAGGGGAAGATAGGAGAGTGTGCATAGCTTAAGGGAAGAGGAAGAAATGCAGTATTCGTGGAAGAAACCGAAAAGGAGAAGCAAGAGAGAAAAGACCACAGAAAGTAAACTAAATTAGGTAATGGGGAGGCTTATCTTAATGTTATTAATTATTTAATATGTGATTGCCCATTGTTCTCCCTTAATCTCTGGTGAAAAAAAATATTCATTAAATCTATGTGGAAACCCCATTTACTTATTTCCTACAGTCTGGGTCAGCATCTGGCTATAACTCATAAGTAACTTGCTCGTGGTATTCTAAGCCCCTCCAACTTACTATCAGGTCTACCATGAAATTTATTTTTAAAATGCAGCTTTATTTTTTTTAAATGCAAGCACTGCAGAGCAATTCAAGACTCTGAGTGTTTGGGGAAGTCCTGCTTCATATGAGCAATCCCTGAGGGTAAAGAAATGATTCTCCAGGCAATGATCATAGTCACCTCCTACTAAGAACAACCCAGCCGGGTGTAGTGGCTCAAGTTTGTAATACCAGTGGCTCCAGAGGCTGAGGCAGGAGGACCATGAGTTCAAAGCCAGCCTCAACAATTTAGTGAGGCCCTAAGCAACTTTGGGAGATCATGTCTTAAAATAAAATATAAAAAGGGTTAGGGATGTGGCTCAGTGGTAAAGGGCCCCTGGGTTTAATCCCCAGCAAAAAACAAAACAAAACAAAACAAAACAAAACAACCCACAAGGAATGACTGTCTTGAAATCTTCAGAGGAGAAGCCTGTTCCCGAGTGACCAAGATTCCTTCCTAGCCAGGCTCCCTTCTGTGTTATGTGCTATAAACTTTTCTGTGATCCTTTCTTTGTAGGCTATCTGGTGGGGAGGGAAGATTTAAAACACACCCTTATTTTAAAATTTGGGTCCATTTATTTCAATATCTGTATCATCGTTGGGTCTAGTATTTTTTTTTTTTTCCTCTTGGTCCTCTCTCTGGATGTGTCTGGTAATCGTCCATGGAAGCCTGGACATGGTATATGAAAAACTGAAGATTGCCTGAAGATTGCCTAGGTGGGTGTTTTGCTTCAGAGAGAATGTTCTTTAGCTTCCAGAAGACGGTCAGCACTTAAGGAGCAGATCACCTTAATTCAATTGGGGAGTGAGTTGATTTGAAGCTGTATCCACGTCTTCAAGGTTTGCACTGTTTTTAGGTCTGCCCTCACTTCAAGGGTGTAAGAAGTCTCAAGCAGAGCCCTGGTATGTTTACTTGGGCATCTCCACTTTGGCAGCTCTGAACTCTGTCTTTTTTTTTTTTTTTTTAATCTCCATATCCCAGGGAGACTGCCAATAGCTCTGCTTAGTGTTTTAGCCTCTTGGCAAACACTTTTTGGATCAGCTTTCCTATCTCTTGAGCTGAATCAGAAACAAATGAGGACCGTCTCAAGTGGAAAAGCAGCTTGAACCTTCTCTTGAGGATCTTGGCTTCTCTCATCATGGACCCCTTGATAGTTTGGAACCCTCAGTTTTGTTTGTCCAGTCCCATGAGACTGATAGAAAGCTTTGCTTGGCTTCTCTGCACCTCTCTGGCCACTTGCTGTCCAGATTCTCAGTCTCTGCCTAGGCTTGATGAATTTTTCTTCTTTGAAAGATCTGGACTCCTCAAAATTTTGATTACTTTTGGGATTCTTCAAGGCCGTTGAATAGGGTCTTGTGTGTGTGAATGTGCTTTTTTTTTTTTTTTGATTAGAAGTTTTCTGGTATTAGCAGGAGAATTAATTAACCATAAGTCAGAAAGCTAAGCAATGCTGTTGTTCTAAGTGCCACCGATGGAAATGTTCTGAAGGTTTGCAATGAACTGGATATTTATGTCCCCTTAAGATTCATGTGTTGAAATTTTAGCTTCCAAAGTAATGGTAGATGGGTCTTTTTGGAGATGATTAGGCATGAAGGCAGAATGCCCATAATTAATATGGGATCATAACTAATCCTTAGTGGGCTTAGTGCCCTTATGGAAAAGACCCAGAGAGATCCTTTGTCTCTTCTACCATGTGAAGACACAGAAAAAAACAGCCATCTATGAACCAGGAAATAGCCCTCTTAAGGTATCAAATCTGCCAGTGCCTTGATCTTTGACTCCCTAGCCTCAAGTCTCACAGTCTAAGGTATTCTGTATAGCAATCAGAAAAGACTGGGACAAGTTTCCTTTGTCTTCTACTCTGTTTTTGAACCTTTAATTTTAACCCAAGGAACCAAAAATGTACTTGTTTGACTTTGCCTATACTACAATAGAACAGGTTTTAAAGTCAGTATTATGTATGTGTTCTACAGGACAGGAATTCATGCCACTTGCTTCTTTCATGAGGACTTACAGAGTAGATGTTCTAGAATCACCATTGAATACACAAATTTTTTGGTTCCGATCTTACCGCTCATAAATCCCCCTTCTGGAGAATCCATTGGAATCATTCAGTGTGTCCACCGGCTGGATACTTCCTGTCTCAGATAGGACAGATCATCTGCATCCCTTGAGGCAAATGAGAAAAAAAGTAGGAAGACAGGTCACATTTCTTCAACTGTGAAATGCATAGAATTACTAGATTCCTTCAAAGACCCTCTAACTCTGATAATGGGTCCATCTGTTACTGAACTCAACCTCATTTCTTGATCCCTTTATTAAGAATTTCGTTAAAGACATCTGCATCTGTGTTTCCTTGGACTCACATGCTCACGGCCCTCTGTGATAAGGGCGACTCAGGTCTGGGTGCTTATTTTCGAAGGAGCCCTCTTTAACACCCTATTAGTTTCCTAGGACTGCCATAACAAGTTACCACAAACTTGGTGGCCCAAAGCAACAGAAATGTATACTCTCACCATTCTAGAGGCCAGAAAATGGGAGCCTCCTTATGGAGGCTATGAGGAAAAACCATCCCACGACTGTCCCTTCACCTGGAGAGGCTGCCAGCAATCTTTGGTGCTCTTTGGCTTGGAGATGTTTTGCTCCACTCCCTGCCTCTTCTCTGTCTCCATCTTTCCATTTGCTGTCTTCAAGTGTGCCTCTCTGTGCTTGCTTCTCTTACAAGGACACCAGTCATTGGATTTAAGGCCCAACTTAAATATAAGATGACTTAAGCTGAAGAGCATTAGCTGGTTACATCTACAAGGAACAGTAATTCCAAATGAGGTCATGTTCTGAGGTTATTATGAGTGGACATGAATTTTTAAGGAACACTTCACTTTTACTATAGTCACCTACATCAATCTTAAAAAAATAAACTATTAGGAAGGCTGGGTCATGGCTGTCTTATTCACTATAGATCCTCCATGCCTTGTACATTCAAGGCACTTAAATATTTCTTGAATAAATGAATCAGTGGGGTTGCAATAGGGTGTAAGTCATAGGAAATCAGTAGAATTACCAGCTGTGTTCAAATTAAGATATCTCTGGGTACAGTGATGCACGCCTATAATCCCAGCAGCATGGGAGGCTGAGGCAGGAGGATCATAAGTTCAAAGCTATCCTTAGTAATTTAGTGAGGCCTTAGGTTATTCAGCAAGACCCTGTCTGTAAATAAAATATAAAAAAGCCAGGGGATGTGCCTCACTGGTTGAGAGCCCTTAGGTTCAATCCCTGGTACAAAAAAAAGAAAAGAAAAGAAAAAAAGTCATCCATGGGCCAATGTTCTAGGGTGCTTGCTCTTAATGATATTTTTCCATGTATTTATATAAGGCTCTCTGCTTTGCTAGATTGATGAGAGTGCAATCTATTGGTGAAAAAAGTTACTTTTCATTGACTATTAAAAAACTAATCTTTATATTAGTTTCTTAGTTTCACTTTCTTATTTCTTTTGTTTTCTTCCTTTTTTTTGGGGGGGGTTAGTCTGCTGTTGTGATTTGCCATTCTTCTGTTTTTCTTCTCGATTCTTCCTTTTCATGTCCTTTACTCTCATTAACTCTTCTTAATTCTGCTTTTAAAAGGTCTGGGCCTAGAATGCTCTTCAGATATATGTACATCTTCTAATACACTTCTTAGGAGTTCATGGTTTTTAAACATTTCTCAAACATTTAGGCAAATTTGAATCTGAGAACAGAGAAGGATCCTTATTTAGTGATTTCATAGTTTCCTTAAAGAAAGGAGAAGCAGCTCATTTTGTATTTTAAATTAGTCATAAGAAGAAATAAACTCCACATTTCCAGCATACAATCTTTTAAGGTAATACAGTCTGCATCTTTTCTGACTATTAAATAAAGGCATAATGAGTGAGGTGACATTGGGCATAATGAACTGCTAGCAATCCAACCAAGAAATCCTTTCTCACGCTATTTCCTCAGAGTGAGATTGTATGGATGCCTGCAAGTAGCAAAACTTGCTGCACTGTTTGAACATCCCTATTACCTTTCTGAGCCTCAGATCTAGTCCTTTGATTTGTTCTCTCAAGCTCTTTAAACTTCTTCGATGCCAGTTTGGATGGTATTTAGGAATCTTGATGAATACGCTCTTTATCTAATACAAAGTGACATAACACACTCCGACCATGAACTCTGCCACATAACCATACCCTGCTGAATTCCTGTGATTTATGCAGTACTAGATTAATAGCATTTATGTTATTCACATATCTCAGTTGACCTTGATCTGCTAGAAACTCCCTCCTTTTTATCTCTGTTCCATACTGGGGAGGTTTTGTCCCACATTAACAATGGTTCTTTTGTACATCAAAGCATACCCCCCCCAACATCCCGAGTTTTAATTTGCCTTGCATGCATAATATGTATCTCTCTTCTGTTCACTCTCTGTTACTTTTTACCTATGTGTAATTGATGGATAATAGAAATTTCTACTTATTTTGCAAAAGAGAAATTCTTAAAAATTAGTCTTTTAGTATCTGAATTTAAAAAAGACTAGAGCTTTGTACATGAAAAATGTTCACAGAAATGATTCTTTCTTCTCTTTTTCAAATTTAAAAAACACAGATTATTCATTTAGGCAGAGATCTGGTCTCACATGCTTCTATTTGTCCAGAATCTTTCAAATAGCAGTATTTATTTGTCTTGGAAAATGAGAGTTTCAATCACTCTCTGATTTCTCTATTTGTGTTATTAAAGGTTTTTTTTTTGTATATGTATATGTATATGTATATATATACACTACACACATATAATTTTATATATATGTTTATATATAATGTAATTAACCATGATACAGACATTGATATGCTGAATAAAGATTGTGGATAACAATTCAGAGTCCAATGCAATGAATCAGTTATGTCATACCTGTTAGGAAATTTCACTGAATAACATTTACAAAAAAAGGTCAAATAAAATCTGCAACAAATCCCTCAAAGTCTAGGAATTATTTTGTAAAGTGTATCTTCCTACTCTCACTTAGTTTTTTAATGAATACTTACTTGGTATTTAGTAGTTACATGTAAAGTATTTGTAACTCACTTCTCCAGCAATTATTATAGCAGCAGCAATAGGTGGATGAAGTCTTTTTTTAAACTTTTTTTGGGCAATCTTTTTGTTTTTATCTGAAGAATCAAATCTTCAGTGTATTTGTTGTTCTAGTATGTTACATTTCTGCGACAAGGTATTCCATACTATTTCTGATGGCAAGATATATAATGAGGGGATTGGGGTTTTAGCAGTGGCAGAGCTCTTGCCTAGCATGTGCAAGGCCCCGAGTTAGGTCCTCAGCTCTGAAAAAAATGCACTGAAGATATATAATGAGAATTATCTCCCTTTAAAAAAATTATCCAAATTTTCAAACTTAACTGTATAAATATTACCTGAGCAGCTGTTTAAAATGCAGATTTCTGGGCCCCTTCTTGAAAAATGCTGACTTAATTGATCTGAAGTTATCAGGATGTGTGTTTTGAGAAAAGAATCCTGTTGATACTGGTGTTTGTTATATATTAAGGAACACTGTTCTAAAATAATGTAGAACCAAGAGCAAGTTCTATTGCTGAGAAACTTAAAAAGAGTCTGAAAGTTTGAAGGATTCAGTGGAAATCTGTCCTTGAATGCAGAATGTTTCACCTAAACATATAGCAAAAAATTCATAAGGACATAAACTATTAATAAGAAGTGGTTGAGGGTTGGGGATGTGGCTCAAGCGGTAGCGCGCTCGCCTAGCATGCGTGCGGCCCGGGTTCGACTCAGCACCACATACCAACAAAGATGTTGTGTCCGCCGAGAACTAAGAAAAAAATAAATAAAATGTTAAAATTCTCTCTCTCTGTCCCCCTCTCTCTCTCATTCTCTCTTAAAAAAAAAAATGTTGTTTAAAAAAAAAAAGAAGTGGTTGACAAATTTTACTTTTCATACACTGTCAAAAGCAAGATGGTAAAATCAAAGAAATTGCTAAAGGAAATAATACGGGCCAGGAGTAGAACTATCGTGTGACCCATGTATCTCACTCCTCAATATTTATCCAAAAGAACTAATATCAGCATACTATAATGATACATACATACCAGTGTTTATAGCAACACAATCCACAGTAGTCAAGTTATGAAACGAGCCCAGGTGCCCATGAACTGACAAGAGGATAGAGAAAATGTGGTATATATACACAATGGAATTTTACTCAGTTGTAAAAAAAAGAGTAAAATTATGTCATTTGCTGGTGAATGGCTGGAACTGGAGAACATTGTACTAAGTGAAATAAATTAGACTCAGAAAGTCAAGGGTCAAATGTTTTCTCTCATTTGTGAAAGCTGTGGGGGGACAAAAAATGAGGGGGATCTCAAAAGAATAGAAAGGACATCAATGCAGTAAAGGAAGGGAATTGAGAGGGAGAGAAGGGGGAAGGCATAGGGAAGTACTGGGCAATGGATTCTACCAAATAATGCTAAATCCATGTATAAATATGCCACAGTGAATCCTGCTTATACATATAATAATAATAATAGAAGGGATAATGATCAGTAGAGTAGAGCAAGTGGATCAGGGAGGAAAGGGGAGGTACTGGGGAAAGAGATTGATTAAATTATGTGAATGTACAAATAAGGCATTAATGAATTCCACTATTACATATAATGCTTTAAGAATAAAATAATTAATTTTTAAAAAGAAGGTACTATGAAGTGATGAGTGTGATGAGTGTTGTTGAAGATAGGAGTGTTAGGATATTTCCTTCCTTATCCCTATTAATGGCTTATTTAAAATGTGCTGGGCCCCATGATTATCTATGCAAAAAAACTAGAACAGGCTTAAACTGTTCCATGGGAATAAAATTATTTAGCAACCCACTTATACTTTGTTTTGTTTTTTAAGTCATCCCATAATTGTGATATAAGGATACTTGGAGAATGAAGTGATTCAAATCATCACTTTTTAACTCCTCCAGGATAAATTGCTCATTTCCCCAGATGAATAGATGTGGGGTTATTCAAAGTCTGCATTAACATAATTTGTGCCCGAGCCTACTTTAAAAATTAGGTCATATAGTTAATTGTTTCTATCTGTGTTTGGCTTTAGTTAATTACATAAGATAATATGTGTGAAAGTGCCTAGCACAGAATCTAACAGGCGGTGAGTACTGGGATCCAATTGTTTATTTAGCATCTCACCTTGGATAACTTGTGACCACCTCAAATTCAACATTATCTGCATTGAAACATCCATCTGCTCCTTGTCTAAATTGTTACTCAAATCACCCACTCAAGCTATACATCTTTTTTTTTTTAATTTTTTTAGTTGCTAATAGACCTTTATTTGTTATTTATTCATATGTGATGCTGAGAATTGAACCCCCTGCCCCACACATGCTAGGCAAGCAGTCCACCACTGAGCTACTACTCCATCCCCTCAGGCTATATATCTTGGTTTCATCCTTGATGTCTCTCATCCTTCTCACTTCCAAATCTTATTGATCTGACTTCCTCAGTAGTTCATAAGTCACCACTTTGCTCATTCATTGTTCTTGGAATACAATAGTGGACCACTTAATCCTATATAAAGTTATTTAGGCAGGTTCTGTTCTGGTTCAAAGATCTTGGCACACACAAAGAACAGAAAAGGTAAGAGTGCAAAGGGAAGAGGGCAGGGGCAGGCCACAAAGGACCCTCTAAGTCCTGTTAAGAATTCTGAAATTTTATTCTAAGAAAAATAGGGAAAGTTTGAAGAGTTTTGATCATGCAAATAACACTATCAGATTCGTCTTTTACAAAGATTTCTCCCTTCTATATCTCTTCAACTTCATTTATCGGGACGTAAGTTCTGGTCACAACCACCTGTCCTCAGGAATATGTCCTTGCCCCATTCATCCTCCCCCAAAATGCATGCTCCACATTGCAATCAAACAATGGAACAGAACAAACAAAACCCTTAGACATCTAATTGGAGGTTCTCCAGTTTCAGATCTTTTAATGATGTTCCAATGATTTTAGTATAAAACCCAAATCCCTCGACAGAGGTTCCAAGGTTTTTGGCCTATGTTTATCTTTCCAGCCTCTTCTGTCACCACCACTCCTCTCTCCAGGTGCACCAAACATCTTTCAGTTATTCTAGTGAATTGTGGTTTCTCTCACCCAGATCTTCCTGTTTCTCATGCCTGGGCATCAACCCTGTCCACCTCAATTCTTTAAGCTTCACTTTTCTCAAGATGGATTTTTCTAACCTGGACTATGTGAACTCCCTCCTGGTAATTTCCATCTTTCCCAGTTGTGACATTTACCTCATTCTCTGCTAAACTTAAGCTCCACCAGTGTCTGTTCTGGCCATTTCTTTAGCGGTAGATCCTCATGTAGCTTGCTACCTGGCAAGTTCTCAACACACATCTAACAGAATGAATGGGTGGGCAGTCCTATTAACTTCCTTCAGAAGAGGCTATTGGAATATGTCAATGATAACCTACCTGGATTGAGTTTAGATGACAAATTTTAGTCCTATTAGTAGTCTTAAGAATAAAGGTAACTGAGTTCAGACAGGGATGTGGGATCTGATAGATTAGACAAGCATTTCCATATTTATGTATCTGGCTCCTCTGGGTTCCTTTCATGTAAGTTATGAAGTAAAGAATCAAAGTTATATTTCTCCTAGGTGGCTTCGCAGTTGTGTTCATACCTGGTATGGATCATCCTTTCTTTTCTCCACTGATTTGATGTTACTTTTATCAAATATTAAACACATTACACTTATTTCTCCAATTTCTATTCTATTTTGTTGATCTATTTTTATTTTCATATGACAGTATCTTATCAATAGTAATAACTGTAGCTTTATAATTTATCCAGCAGGGACAGTCTCTCCAATAATCATTATTATTTCAGAAATGTTGTTTTGCTTTTATTTTTTAAATTCTCTGTGCTTTTTTCATTTAATTTATCAAATTAAAATATTCCATGTGTATTATTGTCAGAATTAAATAAAATTTGTGGATTTAAATTTGATATTTTGCTTTTTTAATCAAAGGGCACTTTCTACCAATTCTCACCAGGTTTTGTTTTTAAACTAAAGAATGTTTGATTCTTCAGGAGAAACTTGTCTTTAGGAAATATGAAAAAATATACTTTAATTTTTCCTTTCTTTCTTTTTTTTTTTGTCTTTAGGTTTGGTCAAAATGAGCCCCTGAACTCAAAAAGTTTGTGACTGAAATTATAGTGGGGAAAAAAGCAAGTTTGCTCTCATATGATCTCATGCATAGTTGATCCTGAAAGTTTGAGTGTGTACACTAATCACCCTTACAGCAGTGTTTGGCAAGTTTGGCTGATGTATCCAGTGGCTCTCTGTTTTCCAAGGATTAACACACTTTGTTGTGGCCTTAGTTCTCCAATAGCAATGGCAAGGTCATCCAGTTCAGGTGTCACCAAGACAAGCAGCATACTCACAGTTCACAACTAGCCTCACTTGTATGCCAACACTCAAAAAGTACAACCTAAACAAATACTTGTTTTCTTGTTTAAATCTTGTCTTAAGTTCTGTAAAAGAATTTTTTTTTTAAATCAACTCCCCAGTTAATAAAAACATCCTTATCAATGTTGGGCATGTGCTGTAATCACAGTCTTGTTTGGAGAAGTACACAGATTATGGCCAAACATCCCTCTCCATTTGGAAGGAGCCACTGTGCAAATCTTGTGAAATAATTCTGAGTTCTCTGCATGCTTTGACTTGCTATGTAATTAAGAACTTCCTCTCACAGCTATCCAACTTGCTTGATTCCTCATGGCTTTAAGCTTTAAGAGTTTTTTCAGAGATGTAATTTGAAATTACATTATATTTTCAGTACATAGGCCAAAACCTCTCTTCTAGCGGTTGACATATTTTTCTAGTTTCTTTCTATAAACACTGGTTTACTTAGAGGATGAAAGGAAAATTAAAAATTAGTGATAAATCAACCTGATTTCATGCAGATATTTAGTTCACAAAAGAACATCCTGAGGTGCATTTGCTGCTTTCTTATTTTTTGCTGTATATTTGCACAGGGTCCCACCAGTCCCCACGGCGACTTTAGAAATCAAGGTGAATTTCAGTAACAACTGAAGGTCAGGGACACACTGGCTGCTCTGAACTTCTTTGGTGCTTCTTGACTTTGGGGAACTCATTCCACCGTCTTCCCATTAACCCAGCTTTTTTGTTTTTGCTATTGTTCGTTTTGATTTCAATGTTTTTTTTTTTTATCTCCAGAAAAAATCAGAAAGAAGGAGTGATTATTTGGGTGACTTGGTTTCTACTTCTAAATAAAACAGGATTATGGGATAGAGGGGGACTGGGGCCGGTTGTAAACTTAGCCAGAGTGTTTATAATTTATCTAGCAGGGACAGTGATGCCTGGGTGGAGACTTGGACTCATGAGAGGAGGTCAGCCATATGAAGTGCAGGGAGCAAGCTTTCTGGGCAGGAAAGACTAGAGTGAAGGCATGAGGTGAAGTCGAGCTTAGTGTATTCAGATGATAGAAGGCAAGTCAGAATATTGGCAGCGTGAGGTTCAGGAGCCGGTGTGGTAGGCAGCTTCTGACATGGCTCCTAGTGATTCTTACCTCCTGCTATTTGTGCCCTTGTGTAATCTCTTCCTCCTTGTGTTTGGGCTAGACTTAGAGACTCTTTTAGAAAAGAGAGAAAAGAGAGAGAGAGAGAGAGAGAGAGAGAGAGAGAGTTAGAAATGTCATTTCTGAGATTATGTTATAAAAAACTGACTTCTTCATTGTCTTTGGATCTTTTTGGCTCACTCCTGGTGAGGCAAAATGTGATGTTTTGAGCTGCCATATAGTGTGAACCATAGGGCAGACAACTAGGAGTGTTTTTTGGCCAATAATGAAGGAGTAACTGACATCCTTAGATGGGCAGCTTACAATGAACTAAATGACCCCAATTATCATGTGAGTGAACTTGAAAGAGGATCTTCCCCAACCAAGCACAGAGATGACTTGTTGCCCTGTTGAATGCCTCAAATGAAGCTTGAAGGATACCCTGAAGTAGAGAACCCAGGTAAATTGCCCTTGAATTCCTACCTTCAGAAACCATGAGATTAAAAAAAAAAAAAGTGCTGCTTCAAAACCAATAAGAATTGGCTTAATTTATTATATAGCAAAAGATAAGTAATACAGGAGGGGAGAACTGGGTCAAATAGATTTATAGGTTGTGAAAGGAGTTTGGGTTCTGATTACAGTGCAGGGAGGGATCCCTTGTTAAATGTCACTCTGAACTCTGACCGCTGTGTGAGGAAAGGACAGTGCTGGGATAAGAGTGGGTGCAGGAAACTCAACTAGGCAACTCTGACAGAAGCATGAAGCTTTCCACATCTGCTAATACAACCTGCAGGGAGACTGCATGTAGGGGATAAGACAAACAGATTTACATTGACGTCCACGTGTTTGGCTTGATCAACTGAATACATAGAGGTGCCATCTGCCAAAATGAGGAAGGTCGGGAAAGAGTTAGCCTTGGGGGAAGATGGGACTATTTGTGTTGGAAATGCAATTTACATGTGGAGATATAAATGGGAAGAAGTAAAGAATTCAGAGGTATCTGTGTACATCTGAGGATGAGTGGGACACTTCGCTGGAGCAAACTATTTACGTGAATGCTCACACACCTCTTGAGGAAGGACTATCCTAAGAGAAACCAAGATTCCCTCATTTCGTTGAAAGAAAAGAGGCTAATTGTGAGAGAGCAGAGTCAATTCTCTCTATAGCATCTTGTATTCCAACTTAGTCCACATGTTATAGCATAAAGGAGATACAATGACAGACTCAAGAAAAATTAAAGCCTCTCCATAAAATCTCCACTCATCAATTCATCATTCATCAGCTCTAGTGCTGCAGAAATGGGAGATGAAAATCTCAGCATAGACATCAACCTTAAGGTACTAGATCCTTGGTATTGTTGTCAGCCATTGGTGATGACGACTTCTGTCAGGTACCTTGATATAGGTGCCATTATTATGCCTCCAGTGTAATAGGAGCTATCACTAGGAAAATAAGAGAGAAATAGAATGCTAGATGCCTCCCTATAGCCAAGATAGCCTTTCTTGGGGACTTTTGTTAAGAAAATTAAAATGAATTAAATTTCTTCAACTGGGATGGAATTGGAAAATATTTTCATCTGACTCTATCTTTACTTCTAGAATGTGCTGTCTGGAAAACAGGGTACTAGAAGAATCATTTTAAAAGGACTTCTTAAGTTGTTGGAAAATGGTTTTCAAGAACGTTAGCTATTGAGCCACGCAATGTACATGTATAAAATCATACATGATATCAATATTTATTATTTTAGACAAAAAATTGAGGTGCTTTATATTTTCAACATTTATGTTCAAAGGACCAACATAGGTGATCATGTTTTAATTTTAGCTCTACTTCTTCACAGATAATTTACTATCAATTATGTTGATGCTTATCGTTGACATATTTTTCTCCTCAGGGGTTATTTTTTTTTAACTTCATATCTTGATCATCTTAAGATGGCTTTTGCTATACATTCTTTCAAGCTTTTTCTGTTTGTTTCAAGAAAAATGAGGAACTTGAATTAAAGCATTTTAAGGATATCAACAATATTGAGTTACTAAATATTAGATTAGTACTTTTATACTCAGTATTTCTTATAATCTAGTAATTTTCTACTCAGTATTTTTTATGCTCTACAATGTGACATGAGTTTTTTTCATATGTCAATGTTTTTAAATACTTCTCATTACTCAATAGGAAAAAAGAGAAATTGAAACTATTACATTGAGTTCTCTTTGTCTTTGATCTCTCTTTTCATATTTGAAAATTTGGAACATTGAGCTTTTTGAGAGCTAGGTGTAGATAAGTTATTCAGCCTGGGGCTGGGGTGTAGTTCAGTGGTTGAGCACTTGCCCAGCATGATTCCATCTCCAGTACACCCACCAAAATAAATTAATAAATAACTAAGAAAAAAAGAAACTAAAGAAAAACTATTCAGACCAGGAGATGTTAGAGAAAGTAGTTTTGGAATTAGAAAGTTGTTAGCTAAGCAGAAGAGAGTTTAAAGAGTTCTGTTCTAATAGAAATATTAGCACATAGGCTCAAGTTTCTCTAATGTGATATTGATATCTAATTTTTCAAATCATTCTTTAGTTTAAAAATTTCCTTGCATAGCATGTGTCATTGTTTTTCCTGAATTTTACTACTTCTGTGATAATTCATGAACTAATAATTAGTAAATTTGACATAGAAAAAAATTAATTTTTGTAATTTCAGATGTGATAAAATAAAATTACTAAATAAGTAATAGCATACACTGTATTAATCCCCTATTTTAAAAAATAGAGATGTAATGCAATAAATCAAAGATCTTCTGACCTCTCCCAACTATATAAAGTCTCTGAACCTTTGTCTACCATTTTTATATTTAAATAATTAATAGTATATGTAATTCAACATTCAGAAAATCTGGTGAGGATTGAACAAATTGAAAAGAGCTTCTCTTATTAAAATTAGTTGATGCTTGAGAATCTCTTTCTGTTTGATGTGCCCAGACCTGACACCATCAAGGCTTAATTAAAGTGAATCAGTTACTAAATCTCAAATGAGTTATCCATTGCCTGAAAACTAAGAGTTCACCACCCATATTCACATTTATAGGGGTGCTAAGTCTTGAGCTTCATGTTTTCTAAAAGGATCTACTTGAATTTGCAATCTGGCCTGTTAACTCCATGCTAATTTACCTTAGAGAAAACTTGCCAGTTTACATAGCAGAATCAGACCCTTTAAAAAAAAAAAAAGATTCTTAACGTTATCATTTTCTCTTATCAAGACTAAAACCAATTTCAATTTTTAGTTAGTAAATATATATATATTATATTATAAATATATTATGTTATATACATGCACACACATTTTATATATATATATATATAAAAAACAGTATATTATTCTGTTTTTCATTACTATAAAGAAATACTTGAGGCAACATACTTTATATACAAAAGAAGTTTATTTTGGCTCACAATTCAGAGGTCCAAATTGGGGGCTGCATCTGATGGGATTTCTTGCTGGCAGAGTCCCAAGGTGGTACCAGGCATCATATAACAAGATACAGAGAATATGCATGTATGTGTACAAGTATCCTTTGGTCCCTCTCTCTTCTTATAATGTCAGCAGTATTCAATCATGAATCGATCTAATTCTAATCACCTCCCAAAGTTACCATATTTAAATATTATAATTGATCAAGTTTTCATTTTTTTAATAGCTCCCAATGAGGTTAGATATCAACCCACCCTTAGTGTGTGTGTGGCGACAGAGACCATATTTAAACCATAGCACATACATTGTTATTTCCGACTTGATGAAATAGCTTCTGTTTACTAGTTAACTTATTTTTATGTTATTTATTTAGTACTTATGCCACTTTCTTTTGGTTTTGTCTGTTTCACATTAAATAATTTGAGCAGAAATTATTGCAATAACCAAGAATATAGTGGAATAGAAGAGGGTTGCATCTAAAATGCAAATATTCATTAAAATCACAGGAGTTTATTTCCTTTTATTTTAGGTAAGTACTAATTTCATATAGC